GCAATCATTGCAAAGTGGGACAGATGGTTAATGAATAATAGATTACCAATTTCTTATTTTTCCTTCATTTTTGTGTAGGAGCTCGTGTCTGCTTGGGAGAACTCCTTGCAAAGATGGAGCTATTCAACATCTTTACCAGGCTGCTGAGGGCATTTAGGATGCAGCCACCAGAAGGTGTGGAAAAACTCAGTGAAAAATTAATAGTAGGGGCAGTTGTGCATCCCGCTCCCTACAAGATTTGTGCTGTCCCTCGTATCAGGACACCATAATATGGGCAAACAAAATGAGGGCCTTGTGTCACTTGTCCTTACCGGAACGTGAGTTGACAAAGCACCCGAAGACGCTGTTTACTCATGAAATGACAGTTTAATCAGGAACAAGCTTCTGACGTTAGCAAAGACCTTCAGCCTGAGGCTCTTTACAAATAAAGTTTACGCTGGGAGCTACTGCCTCCCAGCATTATTTAAATACACTCCCAAGTTCACCCCACCCTCCACCACGCGACACCACCACACCCCCACCCTCCTACATCACACCCTCCTATTCCCCCAACCAGCATCTTTCAGTCAATTGCCCCATTAGTCTCTCCGTCTGGAACCTTCCTGCCAATGCCCTGTGCTTCTGTGGCGACGCCCTGTGCTCTCCGGGCTGCCTCCCCTCAGCTGATTGTCAATTACAGCTGCTCGTCGGCTTGCTGACTGCGATGCTGCTTCTCCCCCTCCTTGTGTGTCGAGCCCAGGAGGGCTTGACACCTTGTTTATTATATGTTATGATCTCTCCCTTTTCAACATGTTTGTAGTTTGATCCCCTTCGAGTTTGGCTCTTCAGATCTTGCTGAATGACTCCTCCCGGCATCTCTCGAGATTCCCAATCATACTTGGCAGCCACATCTAGCTCTCTCATACCTGCGTAAGCCCTGGGAAAGGGGCTAATGATGTAACTAGGGCTTGTCAAAAGTCTCCTATTGCTACTGCTCATGGGATCATGGGCAATTCCTGGAGAAAGAGAAGGAGGACTTTATACTTAAGGGTCTGGGAGAAAAACCAGATCTTCAAGGCCTTCTGGAACATCATGAAGGTGGCAACCACATAGCTTTCAGGAGGTACCTTATTTCTGAGGGCAGGTGCTGCAAGAAAGAAGGCATACTCTCTGGGTCCCAAAACATGGCATAAAGCTAGGACTTATTTTCAGGGCAAGCCTTACTTTTAAGGAAACATGATAGTTGTAGATCTAATAGAAACCTCCCTCTTGCTGTATTCTTGGCAGAAGGAAGCAAGATGGCCTCCCTCTAATGCCTCAGAAGCCAGAGGTTGATCAGGGCCCTCAATGTCTTCCCCCAGGAAAGGGGGGGCCAAGCTGTGCAAGGGAGGCCTTTCCAACAAAAGGGTTTCTCTTATCCTCCATCTTGCCTTTGCTGCCTCTCAGAGGGGCTGAGGAAATGGGAGCAGCTCCTCAGCCAGAGACATTGCTGAGGGGAAAATGGCGGGAAAAAGAAAGGCCTCTGGTGATGGCGGGCGACACGCGGCATCCCTGCTCTCTGGGAGCCTCACTGGTCATCCAAGTGATCCCGAAGGAGGGAAAGGCCATAAGAGTGACCTCTTGGCTTTCTCTGTCCCTCACAAAAGGAGGAGAGGGAGGAAAGGTTAAGATAAACCTATATTGTAGCCTTTCACCACACACATGTTGACCAATACATGACTTGATGGCACATAATTAATTAATACCGTTTAATAAATTATTCATAATTATTATAATTAATAAAACCTTTTGCTTTTTAAAAATATTATTCAAACCCCTAAAACTCATATTTAAGAGATATTAGATAAGACATTTTTAATTAGTTATTTAATCAGGCTTATACAGTATTACATTACAGTTATACCAACAGCAGGTAAAGATCACACCCAGTGCGTTAATTATTATCCAATCTCATTAATTAATATTGATACCAAATACTAACAGTGCTAGCACACAAATCACAGCAAGTGATACCGTTTGTTATTAAGAATGATCAAGGAGGGTTTATAAAAACTAGGCAAGCAGAGACAACATTAGATTAGGTGCAGATCTAACAGACTTGAATAAAAATAAAGATCAAGTTGTAATCTTATCATTAAATGCTGAAAAAGCCTTTGATAAAATATATAAAGAGTACATTTTTGCTCTACTAAATAGATTTGGATTTCCTTTTGGAATTCATAAAATGGATTAAGATATTATATGAGTCTCCCACATCTAAAGTGAAGGTTAATGGTATGTTTTCTATTTTTCACTATTCAGAAGAACTAGACAACGATGTCCACTTTGCTTTTTAATATCTGTGTAGAATCCTTAGCTTGTGCTATTTGAAATCTACAGAATAATACATTTTTAGAATAGAATAGAATAACAGAGTTGGACGGGACCTTGGAGATCTTCTAGTCCAACCCCCTGCTTAGGCAGGAAACCCTAAACTATTTCAGACAAATGGTGACATATCTCAGTGAACACAAATTGGTTTCTTTTGCAGAAAACATTCTTTTGTTTATTTGTAAACCTCATGCCACTTTCCCCCATTGATGCAAAAGTTAGATGCTTTTAAAAAGATAAGAGGATATCTATAAACTGGTCCAAATCAGAACTGATGTCAATAAGTGAAAATTGGGTTACCCATCCATTTAAATCTACAGAAAAACCACCCATACTAACCAGGTGCTCCACTACCAAAGCAATAACCCAATATCCCAAAAAAGAAGCTGCATAAAGACTTTATTTAAACGAGCCCAAACACACTGCAGCAACCGCGAATAGCAGAAAAAGGAAATGGAGCATCTATACAACACATTCCAACAAAATGGATACCCATGCAACTTTGTCAAAAAGTCCCTGACCACTCAACCCAATACAGCACAACCAACACAAACCCTAAAAAGAATTACACTGCCATACATCAAGAATATCTCAGAAACCACCAACAGACTACTACAGCCACATGGATTCAGGGTAGCACACAAGCCAACTAAAGCCCTTCAAAACATCCTAAGTAAACCAAAACCCTTAGCAACCCCAGAAGAAAAAAACAGGAGCCATTCTACAGCAGGACTTTTCAAGCTGTGATACACGTACCACTGGTGGTACTTCGGCACCTGGCAGTTGGTATGCATACCACGGGTTGAAAAGCACTGTCAAAAAAGAGTAAAAAAAAGTGTAAAAGGGATGAGCTGAAGCGACGGCAGTGCCAGAGAGGCCTGGAGGAGAATCGGCTGGAACTGTGGTGTTGCTGGGGCTCTGCTGAGAGCCCAGGATCAGCTCACGTGGCTACAGCTGATCGGCACTCCCATCAGCCTGGGGGGGGGGTGGTCGGTCTTCAGGCGGAGATTCAGCTGGAGCAGCATGTTGCCAGGGCTCTGCTGAGAGCCCAGGATTGGCGTGCACACCTCCAGCTGATCGGTGCTTCCAGACACCTGGAGGAGAAAAGGAGGAGGAGGGGGGGGAGAGAGGAGAGGATATAAAAGGAGGAAGGGAGAGAGAAGAGGATATAAAAGGAGGAGGGGAAGAGGAGAGGGGATATAAAATGAGAGGGGGAGAGGAGAGTGTCCTGGTTCCGACAGATGAAACTCTTCAAAGAACTTCGAGGCATTGTTTACCTTAAAGAAATCTTTATTTGAGTAGCATAGCATCGGCACTTACATAGCCAAAGCATGTAATCTGAATTCCCCTCCCCTGAGCACATAGTACCAAAGCACAATTCCCTCCTCTAATTTACCGTCATAAATCACATTCTCCAATTAGTTTGAAATGCAGGCTTTCCCTCCAGTTCTCCAGCCCGCCAATTCTTATCATCTCTTATTTCAAAAACAAGTTCTCACACTAGTTACAGTATTGTTATGTCTAACTAAACCCCCATGCACATTCCTCCCCCCCCAGTATCATCTAATTCTAACTCTAATTCTAAGAGTAAAACATATGAAGGAAAATGGTTGCATCTCCATATGTTGTCAAAGCAAAAACATCCGGTTAGCAGCGTTGACATTGAGGATATAAAAGGAGGAGGGGGAGAGAAGAGAGGATATAAAAGGAGGAGTTAAACTGGTATTCCCCCCCCTTTTTATGGTTTGTAATGTTTTATTAGATTATAGAATAAAATACAAAAATACAAAAGCAAATAGTAGGACACAGTGGGGAGGAAAAAGGGAAAGAAAAGTGAGGGGGAGAAGGGAAAAAGAAAAGAAAAGGCATTGACTTCTAACTTCCTCTGTTGCAGTAGAATGAAGCATTAACATCGAATCTGAACTTTTTACTTTTCCATAATAGTCTAAACCAGTGATGGCGAACCTTTTAGAGACTGAGTGCCCAAAAACTGGCCCCACCCCTGCTCCACCCCCTACCCCGCCCCTGCCCCACCCCGTCTCCTGCCCGCAGGGCCACTCACCACCTCCAGGGCCCGCCACAGATCGCCCAGGCAGCCCAGCAGCACCATGGCGGCCACGCCCTCTGTCCGCGCCCCACAGCATCAACTGTGCGGGATGGGGTGTGAGGGCAGAGTCTTGTCTACACTGCCTGGCTGCCATGTCCTTGGCTGTGCTGGTCCGTGTGGGCTATGCTTGGGGGCGACTCTCTTCCAGGGGGGTCGCTGGTGAGGAGGGGGTCGTGGGGGGAGGCGAGGCTGGGGCAACGGCACATGTACCCATAGAGAGGGCTCCAAGTGCCGCCTCTGGCACGCGTGCCATAGGTTCGCCACCACTGGTCTAAACTAACCATTTCTAGAACAACAAATCAATCTAATCAGTAAATCCCAAAATCCCCCCTGCCCTTTTTTTAATCATCAAGTTTTTGACACCTTGCTAAGCATAGAAGTGGAACAATCTGTGAAAAGATTGAAAAGTCCCCTGATCTACAACATACAATGTAAGAACTGCAACAACCACTATGTAGGACAAACAGGCAGACGAGTGGCAGAACGCATCCATGAACACCAACTGGCAGTCAGAAGACATGATGGGTTTTTTTTAATTTCACAAAATATAGACAGATTTAACCATAGTTTCAATTGGGAAAATGTGACAATCCTAGACCAGACCAAATCCAAAAATGCCAGGTGATGGCAACAAAATGCCAAAGAAATAAAATAAAAATACAGCAATAAAATAACTGCTGTGAGACATTTGTATGCACAGAGATGGAATGACTTACAAATTCCCACAATGGAAGAATGGATGTTGGTTAGTGGAATTGGCTGAGATGACAGACTTGAATAATGGGCACTATCCAACAACATGAAATTTGGAGAAATGTGGAGAAAAGCAAGGTTTTACA